CGCGGCCTTGGTGTTATCAGCACCGCACTCTACCGAGTGAGCCACGGGCCGGCCCTGTTTTTTCTATTTCTGCGAAGAATGTCATTGGCATTTTGATGGGGACTGCATTGAACCTGTAGATCACTTTGGACAGTATGAACATTTTCACAATGTTAATTCTTCCAATCCAAGAGCATGGAATGCTTTTCCATCTTTTTATGTCCTCTTTAATTTCATACCACATTATGAAGGTTTAATGCCACATTGTCTGGCAGTACCTGAGTGCCTGTTTTGTGGTCCTTCCATAGCACAAAGTGTTCAGATCTCAGCTACTGATCTCCAATGAGAACAGGCCATAATTTACAGGCCCAGGGTATCTAAATCCATCCTTAGAAAACAAACAGCTGTCGTGATCAGTATTTCCTCCATTTGCATGACCACAAGAATCACTGGAGGGCTTGTTAAAAGTCTTAGATTCTCAGACCTTCCCTAAGATTGCAAGAATTAGATCCTCCAGGAAAGGGGCCTGGGAATCTATATTGTTTTAACAAGTATCATAGATCAATTATATGACAGGTCAAGTTTGAGAAATGCTGCTCTGCAGGAAACAGTCTGAGAAGATGTAACTTCTCCTAGGACATTTTTAGAATCACATGCAGCTGCCCTTAGCTCATTGGGAACACAGGGGTCCCCAAAAAGAAGGAACATGACACAGACCCTGTCCTCAAGGGGCTACTTTGAGTGATGGAGAGGGCAATCCCAAGGGGATGTTCAATCTCTCTGGGCTTCAGTTTCCTCTTATGCAAATGGAAACATTAATAAGGTCTCTCATGGGTGGTGGGGGGCACTTCTGAGGGTTGAATGAGATGATGACACATAAATACCAGCTCTTCCTGAGGTCATGGTGCTGTGGCTGATACAGTTGTTATCAGCAGACAGTGGTGGTGTGAGTGGAGGGGGAAACATCATGAGGAGGAGGGTGGGGGTGGTATTTGGGTACCTGAAAGAGGGCAGGTAAGCAGGCTGCAGTCGGAGGTCTCCGAGTGGGAGAGGCAGTGTGTGGAGAAGAGCCGCTGAGATGCAGGTGGCTGGCCTCCTAGAGAACCGAAGGCGACACTTGCCATTCTTTTGGCTGTTGAGCACATCCTGCATTTGGGGAGGTCTCTGCCTTATGAATCCTTGCTTACATTCTCAGAGTCCAGGTGAGGCCTTTCCGGCCTCCCCTGCAGCTGGGGTGCTGGCATTCTGTCAGGCAGATGTCCTATGCCAGATTTTGAATCTGAAGCAGGCACCAAGAGGGATCCGCCTGGGGAGGGTGGTAACAGCCAAATCCTGTTTCCAGAGGCTGAGGAGGCTGAGACCTCATTGGCACCACTGGCGCCCAGGCCAGTGGTTTCGGTAAACAGTGGTGTCTGTACTCAGTGTGCCTCTGCTAGGGCAGCTGGGCTGTGACCTTTGGGACATTGTTCCTGGCTGGTCCTCTGGCCCTCCTGGAGAGGCTTAAGCTACAAAATTATTTACTTATTTACTTATGTATTTATTTATTGTGGCTAGCTGGTACAGGGATCTGAACCCTTGACCTTGGTGTTATTAGCACTGTGCTCTAACCAAGTGAGCTAACCGGCCAGCCCTATTTTTAATAAATTATTTTTCAGCCTAAACTAGCTAGAGTCAGTTTCTCTTACTTTGAATTAAGAACTAATCTAGAGATGAAACCAAGCATCCCTGGGATCACCAAATGTATGCCAAGAAGCCCAAACAGTGAGCCCAGGTTCAGGTGTCTCCTGGGAAGGTGGGACCAGGTAGAACTAAGTGTCATAGCTTTATACTTCTATACTCTTGGGACTTCTTGATTACAACAAGCATGAATTATTTTTATAATTAATTAAAAAAATCAATCAGGGCTGGCC